CCCCCCCCCCCCCCCCCCCCAATTGGACCGAGCTCCCTCCCATCTATGCGCGGGCAGGAAACTGGCAATCTGCCCCTCCCTAAGCATGGGGATCGAACCTGCAACCTGCGTCCCCAAAGAATGGGTGTATTTCGAGATCTCCCGCAGCATGCGCCACAGGTGCCCCACCACCAGGCAATGCTCGAACCCGCAACCTGTGGTAGTGATCACACAGGCACCCAATCCATCTGGGCTACAGTGCAAACGCAGTGTGCGTATGGCCCCAAGCTCTGGCCTCAGTCAGAATCCACAACAATATCAATATTCAGAACGTCACACCGGAGTGCAGGCTCGAAGATTCGAAGATCCGAACCCACACCCTAAGTCACAACGGTGAGCGCTGCAGAATTATACCAATATCCAGTACGGCGAACCAGATTGCAGGCTCGAAGATTCGAACCCTAACCCCTAAGCCACAAATGTGCGTAACCGACCAGCGCTTGACCAACTACGGTAGGGGTCTATATTTCAACAGTTCATGGGTGTACCAACTGAGGTAAGGCCCCTTGAAATGCAGCAATTACCTACATATGTTATAAACCCATGAAAAAAAGAGTAACTCCGTACACCATTTGCTGTAGGTGAGGGGATCGAACCCTCCCAAACACCTCCCAAACAACAATCAATTTCCAGCGATGAAGCCATTCGCCTTTGCCTTCGCCGTGAGTGAAACTGAAACGTGTGTGATTTCATGAACCAAAGAACTTGGTTCTGATTCCACGCACGTTTGGGACAGCCACAGGACCCCAACAACAAAAACAAAAGAAAAACCTACCAATGGGAGTCTCAGAGCAGAAGAAAACATCCTTTTCCCGGGCTTAATTCACAAAAACAGGCTACGGCTGATTTCCTGCCGAATCCACGATGCCTGACATTAACACACCTTAAACACTAATCCACATACATTGGTAGTGGGATCTCTCTCCTGGTGCTTCCATAAAGTAAAGATATTTGATTGAAAAAGCACAAAAAAAAAAAGAAAAAAAAAAAAGAAAGTCCAAAGTTCCAAACCAATCAAATAAATTCAATTGAAATAATATTATAATTTCATACAATTTGAAACTTGTATTTTTGCCTTGGCCACTGGGCCCTGATACTAAAGGCAACCTTCCTTTACAAAAAAAAAGGGGGAAATAAAAGACAGCTAGGGTACTAGGCTGCTCGTGTCATGTATAGCCTGGGGCAAAGTTCCACTACCGGTAGTGGTGGCTTTGTTTTGGTTTGAAGAGTCGTGCGACAGCCCAAATGTCAAATGCATTAAAAAAAAAAAAGAGTCAGCTCCTTACCTGAGATCCTGGCCAGCCCGAATAGATGTTAAAATAATAAAAATAAAAGAAATACTACGACAGAGTGGACCTGCCGACTGACTAACCCACACCAGCTTTCTTTCAGATATGCCTTCGTCTTCACTCCACACTCCATACTTTCCCTTACTTTCCCTTTTTTGTTCTTTGTTTGTCTGCTCTCCATCTCTCCTCCCTGTGTTTATCCCCTCCCCCTTCACGCTGCCTCTTTCTCACAGCGTACAAGTACACTGGGCTGTTATGGCACACGGGGATGGGGGCGGCTCACGCTCAAACTTCATCAACGTGGCGAGCCTTGTACGTGAGAGGCACGGTGAAAGGGGAGTCAAAAGAAGAATGAGAAAAATGAATGGTTTCACTGTGCCCTTCATGTTTGTCCTGTTTGTTTTTAATTTTTAATTTTTGCCGTTTGTTTCACAAAAATTGCGCTCTTTTAGTTCATAGTTATGTGACAATATATGAGCTACGAGAGGAACAGTGTTTCTAGATCAGACTGTTAGAATCTATCTGCTGTGTTTGCCTGCAGCAGGCTTCTCTCTGGCAGTGCACAGGATTAAGCATATTTCTGTCCATTCATTGATACAGTCAGAAAAACAAAGTCAGAAAAACAGACTTCATCCCAGCCACTGTACTCATGCCCCTGGAATGTGGACCATCAAAGTTTCAATATGTTTTAATATAATAAGTTTTTCGTTTATTCACTTACTTATCAAAATGATGTCTCTGTTTTTGTTTGCGTGTGTGTGTGTGTGTGTGTGTGTGTGTGTGTGTGTGTGTGTGTGTGTGTGTGCGTCCTCGCGTGTTTCACCAATGCACTTTGTTTTGTCGTCACTTGGCTTTTGTAATATCGCAGAATGTCTATCCTTTCGGCAAGGGCCGTGGGAGAGGCAACAAGGACATGAAAGACCTGGTAATTCATTCTCTCTCTCTCTCTCTCTCTCTCTCTCTCTCTCTCTCTCTCTC